TTGCCCTAAGGGTCCAAGGACCAATACAATAGGGTTTCAGGGCCCAAATAATTACTAGGATTTGGGCCCTAAAGCCCTATTCTTTGGGTCCTTGGACCCGTAGGGGTGATCACTACTCAAAAAATCCAAGTCTTGAAAGTATTGCGCATGTAGGCCCTCATAGATAGGATTTCGGGTCTGAGATTTGGCCTTGGGGATCCCGAGATTCTACACCTAACCCTGTCTGTAAGCTTGATTAGCTACAGCTTCATGGTAGCTACCCCCCACATCCCCCGGGCAGTAGGTATGGCCCATAAAACTGTAGATAATCAGGGTTATAGGTAAACCGTATGTATTTGGCTCCGGCCTTAGGTGTTTCCACAGCGGAACTGCTGGCAAGACTGCACCCTAAACCCTGAACCCTTAACCCTGAACCAGCACCATTGATAACACAACCATTCCAGTCTCAGGGCTAAGAGCTTGTAGATATGTAAGCGCATATTTGCAATTATAGTACGCATAATAATGACGGTATGAATAAAGGAAAGGACACTGGAGCCTACTAATTCTGTGAACTAGGATTTGGGGTTCTGGGGATGGGTTTGAGCCTCTCGAAACCCTAAATCCTAAAGGTGGAATTCTACCCTAAAACTACACCCCAAACCCGAAATCCTAAACCCTGACCCCCAAACCAAAAACCAAAACCCTAAACCCTAATTATAGCTTATTCCCTGCAAGCCAGCCTCAAGTTCCACATGCTGAAGCAAGACCGAGCCCACGACCCCCAAACTTGAGACACTTTTAAACGGGCTCCAAATCCCAAAAGGTCCATGTAGCTATATAGTATACGGCTACAAAGGTTAAGGTTTAGGATGCAGGGTTTAGGGTTTAGGGTAGGTATATAGTACATACTTGAGCACTAAAGTGAGTGCATGGGGACCTCTGCGGGCCAGAAGTATATACCATATTTCGATATGGACCCTTTGGGAATGTATAGATAATACCAACATTGGAGCACCAAGTCTATTCACATTACCTATATTGGGCTAGTTAGTTGGACCTTAGGGGCTTTCCTAACTTGAAACCTACATATAGTGGTGCGAGATCCCAAACCAATGTGTCGCTGTTTGTGGTCTTCTCCTCACACTGTATCCTGGATTCGGAACTGCTTGGAAAACAAAAGTAACGCAATGATCCTGTTGATGATGTAGATCTTTAGGACATAATTCAGCGTTTAGGGTTGAGGCAGGCCCTGGGTGGCATGTTACCAGCCACCATCCCAACTGTAAGGTCCCATCTGCTTACGACTTTGGGCTCCTGATTTTCTAGTCTTGGCGGCCCTGCAAGCATACTACAACAAGGCTAACCTTGCCTCATTGGCTTACCATGCATAAAGAGCCCACGAAACGTAAAAGGGCAATGAATACAGGCATCTAGATAATTGCCCATAGAACTTAGGCGTCTTTGAAATAACCCTAAAGCATAATCATACACGGAACGAGGACCCTGATTGTCAACCCTAAACCGCACCACTGGGCTTCCGAGTAGACATCAGCCAAAAAACGCGTAGGTCTGGTCCGTGGCTCCGTAGCCCTGGTTGGGGTCATAGGCTGCCTTCACCAAGGATTTGGGGGGGGGGGGGTGCTTTATCCCAATGAGTCAAGGTACTTGTGTAATAGTACCCTAAGGGTCCAAGGACCCAAATAATAGGGTTTTAGGGCCCAAATACCGAATTAATATTACAGTATTTGGGTCCTAAAACCCTTTTCTCTTGGGTCCTTGGGCCCTTAGGGGTAGAGATACTTTGGGGTAAACGTGTTTACTGTATAGCGGCATGGACCTGTTTGGCTTGACGGGATGCATCCAGCATTGCAAAAAGCATGCCGGACAGGTACCTTGAGCTGCCTCCCCATAGCAGCCTTCAACATAAGGGAGTACTGGATTTGAAAAGCCAGCTTTCTCGTAGTAAGGCATTATAAAAGGTTAGAGGGGTAGTTTGTTACGAAGCCCAAACATGTCGTGGCTTAGGGATTCCACATTCGGGGTGTCCAAACCGCCAAGGTTTTGGGGCAATCGCCATTCCGACTGCTAGATACAGCTCCCAAAGGGTCCATGTAGGCATATGGTATATACTAGGGGCCCAAAGGGGTTCCCAAATACCTACTTTAAGGCTCAAGTATATACCATATAGCTACAGGGACCCTTTGGGGCTGATGCTGGTTTAGAGAAGGAGCTCCGAAGCAGAGCGATAAGTTTGTGAGTTGAGGACGAGGCGCATTGTAATCATGACCAGCGCAGTTGTAGTGCAGGGTGTGGGAATCCTTCTTGCTGCTTGCTACTTGGGAATGGAGGCATCAAGCCCACTTGTAGTCTCTACATGATCCTCAACCACATAATTGTTACCATTGCTTTGTCCGCTCCGGCGTTGCCTACTAACAACCAGCAACTCTGTGCACTAAGCTCGTGCAGGGAATGGGCAATGGGAGCCGTACTGCCCTGGGTGCACGTAAGGGTTTAGGGCTAAGGGTCATAACGCCGATGAAGCTGAGAGTATTAACCAGCAGGGACAATAGAGAATATCATCCCCTTGTAGCTTAGGGCTTAGGTGGACCCCCCGCCCTGTAATAGTCGTAGAATTGAAGTATGAGAGGACCCTAATATAAACACATTGATGCCTTTTTTTCACGATTACTGGGTGGGTAGTCCACCTAACGTAGCCCTAAACCCTAAACCGTGTTTTCCTACCTAGGTGCGGCATCTGCTGAGCGTCATGAAAGCTGCAGCAAAATGGGGTATGTCCAACATATGCTAGGGTTTAGGGGTTTAGGGATTTAGGGTTTAGGGACATCCCTGCGAACACTGTCCGACCATTGTTGTTAGTTAGGGTTTCCCACAATTAGGGGTACTTTTTCCAGGGGTCCTCGTAACAAGAACTGTAGAGCTAGTATTTGGGCCTCTACTCTGGAGTCCCCCTATTTATGGAAACAACCTAGTCTGCTTTCTGTATTCTGAGCTTCAGGGACCACATGATTCCTTCCTGTCACCCGCATGGCAAGATACCACTGGTAATGATGGCAAAGTACAGCCTTGGGGTAATACCCCTAAACCTTGAACCCTTAACCCTAAACCCAAGCTGACACGAATGGCCTGACCATAGCCGTAGCCATCATAGCCAGTGTAGCCATAGCCGTAGCTGTAGGCTCCTGTCATGTTCATATGGGGGCTTCCTAAAATTAGAGGTACCTTTTTGGGGGTCCCAATAATAAGGATAATCGTATATTGGGGTCTTTATTTGGGGTCCCCTGATTTTGAGAAACTGCCATATTCCAAAGGGTCCATGTAACTGTATGGTATATACTTGGGCTCTATAGTAATTACATGGGAACCCCTTTTGGGCTCTAGGTATATACTATATATAGTTAGTTACTTGGCATACAGATGAATACCTCCACAGATGAAAGTTCACCCCCCGAACCGCCATGCATCGCTGTGTCACTTCAAACCGGTGCGTTGGGCCCTAAACCCTACACCCCAAGCCTGCCAACAAGAATCCTTCCCAAAGGGTCCATGTAGCTATGCAGTACTACTTCGGGCCCAAAGGGGTTCCCGTCCCAAGTATTTAGTTTCTAGCTACATGGACCCTTTGGGCTCATAAGTCCCATGCAAACCTTCACAACTCTGGCAGGTCTTACAAAGGCCTATGTGAACTACAGTCAATAATGTCCGGGATTATATTAGGGACTATACAAAACTACAAGAGGGACCCCAGTGTCCACTGTTAAGGGTCCTTCAATTTAGGGTAATATTGACAGTAGCTCAAGTGGCTGGGGAGCACTGCGTGCTATTTAGAGAAGGCAGAGTGCAATGGCGTCTTAGGAAGAGCCGAACAATAAACCTCAAAGCACGCAGACTTGCTGGGTTTTTTTGTTAGGGTTTAATGTTGAAGGAAAATTTGACATGCGAATGGAAACTACCTTATCATTCGGGATTATACAGGGATAACTAAAGGGATCCATTTTTCCATCTTACAACTACTCACCAGTAAGAAGACACTGGATTTTGGCAGATGTCGGATGCCCCGAATCTAAGGAAGCCTGAATCTGACGACTTCACCCCAGTCATGATGGAGCTATGGGGGTTACAGATATGAGTGGTCTTCTTTTGGGAAAAGTCTTCATACAAAGGAGTATGGTATTCTGAAGGGTTACACGAGGGAGCCCACTTCATGAACCCCACCCCAATATGTAGAGCCACAAGTCCAAAAGCCCTCAATCCTAAACCCTCAAAACACTAAAAACACTAAAAACCATTAAAAAAAAACATTAAAAACAGTAGAAACACTAAACAACCCTCAACCCTCAACCCTTCAACTTGGGAAAACCGCCCTTTACGCTTGCGAAGTGCCTGGCCAAGAATCAAAATGACTGGCATCCGTCCGTATGAGCTGTAGTCTAAACTGCTAGTATCCGCCTTAATACGCCCTTTTATACTCCCCTATATAGTCCCCTATATAACCTCCCTTTAAGGGGTTTAATCTGGTCCTGAAGTCTACAGCCCAAATAATAATGTAAAGCCTCGAAGTTTTAGCGACAACATGTTGAGGTCTAGCTGATGTACCCTTCGCCATCATTCTACAAGGATCTAGACCTACATTGCAATTTTTTTGGCCCAAATACTTCCTTGTCCATCGGCGTAGGCGCCCTGGGCCATGCTCCTGGGCAGGATTTAGGGTTTAGGGCTTATGGTTTGTCAGTCTGCTGGACTATGCTCACCGAATTCGAACACGGAACCCCCCAAACTAGGAACCCTAGGAAGCATCTAACTATAGGCATTTAACTTGTTCCCAATACGAACCCATACCTCAATATCTAAATGCTTGGGATTAAATGCTTCCTAGTCCTCCTTTACGCTCTCTACAAAAAAACCTTTATCCCGCTGAACGGGGCTAAAGATGCAGCCCAAGAACCCTAATCTAAACCCATGATTAATTCATAACCCCCTTCTTTTCAGGGCCTTAATATTAATAATAGGATCTTTACTACAGTCCCTATTAAGGGGAAGGTTCTTTCAATCAGGGGCTGGGGTTAAGCCCTAACCACATAAGCTCTTCACCAGGCCGCGAGATTCCCGGGGTGTGGTTTTTTCTGCTGCTAACAACCAGCTCACCTTTCCATACCCCTCACTCTGATGATCTATTCTGAAAGCAGTAGCAACAAAGTACAAGCAATGGTCGAGGTGCTTTCAACCTGATGGAAAACACGGGGTCTACGAGGGAATCTCCTAAACGCAGTAACCAGGCTATGGGTTTGTAGGGTCTAGGGCCAGGGTTTAGGAAACCATAACCACAAGTTAGGTCATTCCCCCTTACAGTAGCCATTTAGGAACTATGAACAACTTAGGTCTTTCCCTTACAGTAACAGTTTCAACAATAGACAATAGGAGTTGTCATAGCCCCTCAATCAGAGCCCTTGACGGACAGCTACTTTAGAGGGACTGACCCACGTCATGCAGAAGTTCTGGGTGAAGATAAGACAGAGCCCAAAATAGTTACCAAACTTTTGGTGAGGTCTGTCTGAGGTCTCCTGCCCTATTATGATGAAGGGTTTTAGAACCACAGTGCTGGAATGTATTTAGGCCCCTGTATCAGCGGTTGTAGCCATTCCAAGACTTCTCGGTATGCTGTATTTACTTGTGGTTAGTAGGGAGCGAGAGAATCATTATATTTTACAGGGATTATACCGGGATTCTTTTTCCCTTGTTCCCTACTAACCACCAGTAGGTATAGCAGGTGAGGGGTGGTGCCTATTTGAACGACTCTGCGCCGCCAACCAGCATCCCCAACGCAAATTGCACATCAAACTTCGCTGATCGAAAGATTGGCGACTCCCTTCCTATGAGGAATCTTCCATTTCTTCTGCAGACCTTGTGAGCAGGTCAATTTGTGTCTGGGCTAGGTAGTGCAGGCTCAAGTTATGATCATGCAATACCCTGTGATATCTCATAAAAAAAAAAACTTGAAACACTAAACCCTAACTGTAACTTCGATACCACTTGCGTGCCTTGCTATGCCTACCAATCCCGTAAACCCAATATCCGTATGTCATCCCATGTTCCATTGCTGTTTTCCATAGTCTTTTTCTTATCTAATCTAGCTCTCCGTTCTTCGGGAAACATCCCCAAACCCCTAGATCATCTAATCCCTACCAAGAAATCTAGAACCTACCCTAAAGTCAGAATCTCCAGCTTTTGGGGCCCTCCTTCTGTTCGGGAAAATTCGCACCATGATTTCCCCTGCTTGGGGCCAGACATGCTCTGCTCAATAGCCCAGTATTTCGCATCTTCCTGGCAGGGTCGAGGGCTCATGGGGTCTAGGATTTATAGGGTCAAGAGGGCATGGCGTTCATTATCAGGAAAAGAGGCCTATCTGTGTAATGCAGGAATGTGGCAACTTCATGTAGGGGCTGGGGATTTGGATGAGCATGACTAGTTGTTAAGTGCAAGAAGATTGCGTGGAGATAGTACGACCAGGTTTTCAGTTTCTAGGTTTGACTGCATGTTGAACAGAAGCTTGCACTTGGAGGGTCGACTGATACCCTGCGGCACGTACTCCTTCGAATTGCCCAAATGATGCACAGCACCCTGCTCCTTACCGGAGCTGCCGTTAGGAAGCTGAAGAACAAATTTACATGTTAAAATAAGACAAATAAGTATAGCAACAAAGGTGGTTTCCCCAATTTGTTTGAGGCATAGCTTAATGAAAGTTCCTGAAGAGCAACCTAGTTCCTCAGGAGGCGTAAACTCCCTCGCAACCCTCGTATCATGCTACAGCCCGTACAAGATCCCCTTCAGGTGTCCTTGAGGGCCTACATGGGAGTTCACCTAAGCTATTCATCCCTAAGATGTAGAAGCCGAATCCATGCATGTCTCCGGTACAATACGAAGGTCCGACAACACGTGCGTAAGCCAAATAAAGCATCCAAGCCCGACATAATCCCCACGTTCCCTGCATATGCGTCGAATCAACTTGACACTGTGCCATGGATTTCTCGTACGTGAATATATTTTAAGCATTGCAGAGATCCACTCTGCCATCCTAGGCCCTGTGGCCTGAAGCAAGCACCAATAAGTAATCCGTGGTAAGCAGGGAATGGAGGGGGGGATCCCTACAGAAGTCCCTGTAGAATCCCTGATAAGAATAGTCCCCATAACCCAGTCTTGCATTGCTAGCGGTTTGAAGCTAAAAATCAGCGTGGCTGCCCAAAGTACAATATCTTTCTGCCGTAGGAATTGAGGCAGTACAGTGCACTGCGGAATTTCTTGGTATCAAAAGTAAAAAAAGGGAATGAGTTTATGGTGAAAAGCTGGCAACTCGCTTTGCAACAGTCCTTCTGCCATTGGCGGAGAGCCTTCTCCTGCCAGGGTTTAGGATGTAGGGCCTAGGGCTTTTAAGAGCTGCGTTGGACAAGAATGTTTACCAAAGGGTCCATGTAGCCAGATTTGTATATACTTTGTCCCTAAAGTAGCTATGTGGGAACCTCTTTGGGCCGTAAATATATGCCAGATACCCTTTGGGTTGCCGGCTTTGGGAACTGAGGGTGTTTGCTTTCAGCTTGCTGGTTCCCAGTAGGGAATAAGGACATATAATCCCCAAATATATTCTTTATTATATATGTATATCCTTATTCCCTACTAACCCTCAACCATATGATGTATTCCCTTATCCCCGATTAACCCCAATAAGTTGGCGTTACTTAGCCCACATTACCCTAGGAAGAAAATTGGATCCTTGTTACATAAATATAATAAGGGATCCAATACCCCACAAAGTATAAAGGATCCAGAAACCCTAAACCCTAAACCCTAAACCCCAAACCCCTGAACCCTAAACCCCAAACCCCTGAACCCTACATTCCGGGAGACTTGGAGCCAGGAGAGCTCAGAACTACCACAAAGACCCGCATTCTTTCGGGGTGGGGGGCTGAGGCAAATGGGGATTTCGAAGTTTCCAGGAATCCCTGGTGGAAACAGTCATTTGAACTGGTTATGAGAATTATGGCTCATTTGCAGAAAACTTCCAGGTATTGGAGGAAGTGCATCTGCAGCGATTCTCTTTTGCTTCTTCTAGCTGGAAGGTTGAAACCACCTTACTATGGGCCCTTTGCCCTGGGATCCTTATATACCTACTACATGC